ACAACCTGTCAAACAGGGTTCAGGACCCACGCACTGATGTCATAGTTTATAAACTTAAGCCAATAGCAAATGCGTTTACAATGTGCGCAACAATAGAGATCCAACTTTTAACATTTCATTTATGAATACAAAATAGAGTCTGAGTTCCAACTCAATCTCTAAACCAGTTTTTAAGAGTTCCAATTCAAACTCAAACTCAAATTTGTCTTTGAATACGAGTATAAGCCTTAATGAGTGTTACTATATATAATACAGGTTATGGCATGACTGAGTACCTATTCATAGTGCGGGGCACCGACGTTGATCAACCATTCATACCGGGCAGTTGCGGTCCGGTATCGCCGGGGACCGAGGTAAAAGTTGTAGACATTACAACGGGTGCAATGTTGGGGCCCGACACGGATGGTGAAATTTGTGTCCGGGGCAACAAAATGTTTGCCGGGTATCTAAACAACGAGAAAGCCTATCGCGAGGCGTTTGACGGCGAGGGCTGGTATAGGACGGGCGATATTGGCCGCTACGACGGCCGGGAAAATATATACATTACGGACCGACTCAAAGAAGTGATACGTATAGGCATTGGTAATACATACATAAATATATCGCCCGTAGAGATCGAGTCGTATGTACTGACACACCCGGCCGTTGAGGAGACAGCGGTGGTGGGCGTGAATAACAAGGCCGGCACTCACTGGCCCCGGGCTTATGTGATGCTCAAACATGGTTGTCATGTGTCCGCTGAAGAGATTGAAAATTTTGTTTCTGGTAAATATATTTTGTATTTATTTGATGTAATTGTGATTTTTAATGTTAAGCGTATTTATTTTTTTTATTTAGATACGTTGGCGCAAACAAAACATTTAAAAGGCGGCGTGGTGTTTGTAGACTCAATCAAGCGTATTGGTATGGGCAAAGTGGATAGGAAATATTACCGGGCACTTGTTAGCGATGAGATTATTGATTAATTTGTTTTATTTTATTTTAACAAGTGTAGTAATATTTTAATTTTTAAAACAATCTTATACTCATTTATGCAAGTAAATATAATTTTGTAATGTTATAATTAATTATAATTTATAATAAAAGTTTTCCATAAAAACTGAACAACATTTAATTATATAAAATATAGTCTAATATTATTTGAAATGTAATGTTTTAATATAAAATAAGGTAATTTTAATTTTTCTGTTAAAAATTGCAGGCACTAGCTTGGTTCCTTGATTGTTAAATTAATTTAATTAACAAAATTTGCTACAACTATACAGTATATCATATAAAGTATATTATTTATATGACATTACCTAGATGTAACCGTGTTATTGTTATTGTAAAATCTCATGATATACTGTATATTATGTTAGACAATTATTTATACCATTATTAAAGTAATTGTCTTTGCTTTCTTTAATAATATTTTCTTTATTTCTAATAAATAATGTAATGTTTTATTGATTATACATGTATTTTAATAGAGTTGTAACAATTAAATGGATTATCTTGTTTCATTATGTTGGTAGATATGTTTTATAAAAACATTTTAATTTGTTATGTAAATTATTTTCCATAATTACATTTAGTATTTAAAAAGCTAATTATGAATCAATATAGATCCATCATTTTTAGCATAAACATCATTTAATTAGAAGTATTAAGCATTTCATTATTCTATCAACCTAACTTTTGTTTTATAAATTAAACACGCTAAGATGATTCAAGCGCGAATGTTTAACTGGGCCAAATGGATTAAATGTACTAAGTCAAATTATCCCAAAACTAAAACGGTAAGAAAAACCAAAATAGCAGTGGCTCTACGCAATCGTATAGCAAACAACCGTAAATTGATCAGGATCGTTATGGTGGTGTTCTGTAGTATTGGACTCATATACCAGTCCATTGAGCTTATTATACAGTACAGTGAGGGCCGCACTATTGTCAACACCCGTACCAAAAACATTGTCTACAGTAAACCTCCTGGCATTACACTATGCTATCCGGTCTGGCTATCAACCAGCATGATTATTCAAATGCATCCCGATAGACAAAAGTATCTCGATGTATTCAACCGATATATGAACGAGTTTAACTGCGATGAAGATTATTTTATTAGAAACAAGTTTAATAAGTCAGATAAATACGCTGTTCGTAACATGTTGAGGTTACATGACAATCATATGGCCATAAGTGACAATATAGATTGGTTACATTCAATAAACACCTTATTGACTAATTTAAGCGTGGATTTACAGGCACAGTTTTATTTTATAACAACCTTTAAAGGAATGCGTATGCCTGATCAAATGATAATCCGTGGTTATGATAAGCAGGGCAAGGATTATATAAACATTGATGGATTCCCGCTAAGATCCTTGCATATTAACCGTAATAATGGTAAATATAAATATAAAATATATATAATTTACAAATAATTAATATTATATATGGTGCATTTTACAGTCTTTTCAGGTATACAGTGGTATACAGCAGGTATACATACGTAAACATGCATAAAAATCAAAAGGTTATTAAAATTTGATATGATTACTCAAAAATAATTAGGTATTAAAACATCAGGTATGCAAAAATGTGTGACATTTTTCAGCGCATATAACAAGACATGGAAAGACGTATCGCTATATGATCTGCACATGAATTTGAAGATTCAATACAACCGCCACTGGTTTCCACTCATATTCAAAGACGATCCCATCGGCGATGGGAATCGGTATGAATTTAAACTAACATTACACTCGCCTAATGTATTACCTACATTGTCAAATAACAATTTTATCGAGTTTAATTTGGGCACTAAGCTTACAATTGCATATTCGGAGACCTACACCCAATTATTGCCACCACATTATAACACCCGGTGCATGAACTACGGTGTAGATCAGCCAGAGTGGGATTATTCTGCAAATAATCTGGTAATTCAATGTAATTATTACTATAATAAAAAAAACACAATACATTTTCATCATAAAATTATTAATTATTTTTCTTTAATTTTTAACTTAATATAACAATATTTTTATCTATAAATTTATCAATTATTCGTTGTCAATAAAAGTTTTTTTAAATACAAATTTATTTACCTGGATGCGAAGCGATTGCGTAACACAATGCTACATGGACACACTTAAGAATCTGTGTCAGTTCGATTGCTTTTATTATGACGTTACTCCTGGACAAGTATACAGGGAAAACTATTTTACCATGATACACCCACGGGAAATGCTCTGCAACCACAGCCGTACACAACTTGATATAAACACCACAGAATGCGTCAAAAATAATCGAATTCACACCAGATTTGAATGCGAGTATATGTGTCGCCCCAACTGTGAGCACCGGGACTATGATTTTCAAGTGACAAAGTCACAACCACTTTGGGGCCGTCACAACAAAGAGATCAATATACAATTTATTCACAGCCGTTACCCCGATGTTATAGTGGAACATTTGCCCGAGATGAGTTATATATCGTTTGTCTCTAATATTGGCGGTTTGGTTGGCATGTGGTTGGGTTTATCTGTTATTTTTATATTTGATTACCTTCTTAAGTTTATTTAATTAATTTCTAAGTGTATAGTTCATTTAAATTATAATTTTACCCCAAGAATGCGTTCTAATTTATATATCAATCATAATAAAACAGGATTAATAATAAAAATATTATTTAATAATTATGTAAAGTAATATGCACTATAATAGTTTGAATTTCTTATTACTAATTAAATTATCATTAATTTATACACAGTAATATCAAGCACGTTGTAAAATAATTAAGTAATTATAAAACATAAAAATTATTTGGATAGAAATTATTACCGGGTACTTGTTAGCGATGTGATTATTGTTTTATTTTTTATTTAACAATTGTTGTAACATTTTTAATTTTTAAGCTTATTTTTAAAAATGCAATTAAATATAATTTTCTAACGTTATCTCGTTCTAAAGTAAGGAGCAATGAAATTGGCGCCGGGTAAATTTGTTACAAAATTAAAACTAATTGACCGGTAATTTATATTTAAACACACATAGGTTTAAAGACTATTACAATGAATTATAATAAATGTTTTTCATAAAAACTAAATAACTTTTAATTATATAAAATACAGTATAATCCTTACTACTATACAATTAGAGACCCATTCTCACAGTAGGTGTATAGCATTTACTCTCTCTCACCCGCACGACTAATATATACGCACATAACTCATAGATATAGATATAAAGGGATTAAAGTTTTGTTTTTACGTTTTGAGGTACAAGTGAACCTCTTTATATGTAACGATAAAGTAATGCGTTTATATTATACGGGCAGAGGTGTACTCGAGTAAAATACAGTATAATGTTATTTGAAATGTAATATTTTAACCTAAAGTTATGTGCTTTTTTATTTTTCAAGTATGTAAAAAATTTTGTATTATTAAAAACTAATCATTCAATTAGTTAAAATTTAATTTTTATGCTAAGCACATGTTTGGGTTATTGATTGTCAAATAAATTCAATTAACAAAATGTTCTGTAAGTATATAGTATATTATATGATAAACTATTATCTAGATGACATTATCTAGATTTAATCATGTTAATGTTATTGTAAAATTTCATGGTATACTGTATATTATATCAAATAATGATTTATACCATTATCAAGTAATTGTTGTTTTTGCTTATCAAATCATTTTAATCTATATTTTTGATAAATAATGTATTATTAATTATATTTTAATAAAGTTGTAACAATTAAATTGATTATTTTGTTTTATTATGTTGGTAAATATGTTTTTCATAAACATTTTAATTTAATATAATTGTTTCTATAATTAGATTTAGTATTTAACAAGATAATTGTAAATCAATAAATTATAAATATCATTATTATTAACTTATTTTTGTAATAATGTCAGAGATGTTCTAACTTTGTAAATATTTGTTAGTTAAACCTTCACTATTTTAAAAGTAAATAGTGTATTTAATAAAGAATCCTCGTATTATACGCCCCATAACAAAACATGGTATAGATGTTTTAAAAAATAATGCTTCGTGGAGAACACGGATAGCAAAACGAGGTAAACTATTTAAAATAATAATAACAATCATGTGTTTTGTTGGCCTTATATACCATTCATCACAACTCATTCGCCAGTACAGTGAGGGCCGCACTGTAATCAACACACGTACGGAGCGTTATAAATATAGCAAACTGCCCGCTTTTACCGTGTGCTTACCGATGTGGCTATCAGTGAGCAAGCTCGTTCAAAAGTACCCCGAAAGTACGAAATACATGAATGTTGTTAACAGGTTGTTGAAAAAGAACAATGGGAAAGTAGATTTATACGAAAATAACCATAAATTTAATGTGTCGAACGAAATAAACAGTAACTTGTTTAAAATCTTTGAAGATAATATTGCTAACATATTGCAATTGCCTATTGTAAACATATTGGATAATTTAGTGGTAGATGTGCGTGATGAATTTATATCAAATAGCAAAGCGCTTATCAAAGGGCATATGTGGGGGACCGGTATAAATGGTCAAAATTACAATTTGGATGATCAATCGCCTTTTGAATCTAATTTCATAGTGAATTATGGTATATATAATTTGTTTTAATAAACTGCATTAGTGCATGCTACAGTCTAACATATTAATAGTATTTATTAAATTATATGTGTAATAATAAAAGCATTTGAATTTATAATAAAACTAGCAATCAGCCCCTGTATAGTTTTCAACATCCTCCCACCCCCTGTTTGTGTAATGAATATTTGGTTTTGTGTAACGTTGTTTACTTTTGAAATGCAATCGACATATTTATAAAAGAGATATAATTAATGTAGGATTTATATAACTTTAATTCTCAAAAATGTTGCTAAATTAGATAGAATAGCATGAGTCAAAATTTGTAATTAATTAATTAATGATGATTTTTTAAATAGATACTCGAAAATGTTTAACATTTTTTAGCTCGTATAACAAAACATTCAAAGATCTTGAGTTATACAGTGCATCGAT